CAAAAAGTGTGTATTAACTGAGTTAACCTTTAGTTAAATTAACTTTTAACTTTTAACTCTTTGTTGTTGGTGCATATTAACTTAAGAGGACGCCACACCCGCATGTGTTGTCTCCGTCTTACAAACGCGTAACATAGCAAATTACGTCCACGGAAAACAAACGAATCGGCATCAAAAAGTGGTTTTAGAGTAAAAATACCTATAATAAAACTTAAAGAGAACAATATTTTGGAGGGAACCTCATCGGCGTTTTTAAAAATATTAACTATTAAAAAAGTTGTGGTTATTTAAAAAAAAGAGTTTTTGTGCCTTCAATATCTAGCTGTGTATTTAGATTAATATAAAACCCCGATGAGGTTCCCTCCGAAATATTGTTCTCTTTAAGTTTTATTATAGGTATTTTTACTCTAAAACCACTTTTTGATGCCGATTCGTTTGTTTTCCGTGGACGTAATTTGCTATGTTACGCGTTTGTAAGACGGAGACAACACATGCGGCCATGCGGGTGTGGCGTCCTCTTAACTCAACTGAGTTAAAAAAAATCATAAACTTGGCTAGCCTTGATATTAATTGTAACAAAGTTAAATGGATTGTACAAAACATACAATTTACTATGTTATGAGTCTGAAAGACGGAAACAGAACATGGAGGTTTAGCGTCTTAACAATATTTTTGCCTCCATCGGCTGACGACAGTAGTAGGACACAGTAGACAAATTATTCACATTTTTATTTCAACCTGTTTACTGTTACCACAAACTTTAAACGTCTTAGGTATATGTATCTATTTACGATTTCTTTTATTTCAACAATATCATAGCACTAGCTAATAATAATTAAACTATTGAAATGTAATTTTTTTCGTATTATACATTTTATTCTATAGAACTACATACGTATTAATTCTACTCTATTTTTTTGTAATTTAATATTTGTGATTTATATCCCAGATTTTCTAGAGCACTAAATAATTTACGTCAGCTAGTATACCCACTATTAAAATATATATTTGGTGCAAAAATATAAATTTTATAACAATAATATGTCCAGGCCTGTTATTTTTGCCAAATGTTAACTAATATTTAATGAATTTTTTTATTTAATTTAGACAACATTATTCATTTTTTCATCTAAAACTTAGAGTAGCGTTAATAACACAAAACTAAGCTATTCCTCGGTCTTCCGTACAGTATAAAATAGCTATAATAACACACACGCCTTACAAGTTCATAGGTAACAAAATAATTAATTATATTTTAATTGATAGGGGAAATGTTATGATCAACCCATGCTGCCTATAATATACTTATATACTATGCAAAATGTAACATAACAAGTTGTGATTAGTATGGGAGTTTATGTTGATTGATTGGGCTATGAGGGGATATTATTATAAATTATAATACGATATCTCACAGTTAAAAAATTAAAACAACTATCTCGACAAAGCCGGCGTTTGTGGCAACTATGACTTTTGGCCTCTTGTAACGACCATCGATATTATATTAAACATGATATTAACCGTATAGTTTCGTTTATCGCACATGACGATTGCTGCTGGCGATGACTGGGGAAATAAGACGTTTTTTTCACGTACCTACAGTTCATAATGACGGGCGACGAGCGCTGCGATCATAATATATATTATATTATATATACTTCTCGCAGTATAAATTTCCGCCGATGATAATAATAATACGGATCCGTTTGATACGATTTTTTTTTTATTAAAAAAGTAGGTGTCCGTTCGGATTTACTTCTCCTCGGACGTTTGAAATCTACACCGTTGTCAGCGTCGAACGATCCAGCGAAGAGTGTGTGTGTGTGTGTGTGTGTGTGTGTGTGTGTGTGTGTTTATTCGAGGTATACGCACATCATATCATACACTGCAACCAGCCAATTATAATAATATGAGGACGCGTCGACATAATTTTTTCCTCTTATTCGATTCGTATATTGCATATCGTGTCGTGGAGGGGTGATGGGGGTGCCGTACAGGTGGTCAATTGCTGTGTAGTGCGAAACCTCGCGATTTCCGCATACTCGACTGGATTAAAAAACTGAATCCGAGGCACGCTTACAATAGGTGTTGGTCGTATATAAAACGTCATAAATCGACCGCGCTTCTATCCCACGATATTGAACCTATACATTATTATGATATTATGGTAATGGAACGCGTCGTGCACGAGATCAACTGTAAGACATATTCATGAATATATTTTAATTTTATTATTTAACGTATTTAATACCTACGTCTTAAAAAATTCGAGGATATAATAGGTTTTATAGGTATTATAGGCATAAGTATGAGCACATCAACAAAATTTACAATAACAGATAACAATCCAAATGTGTTGCGTGTGTGTGCGTGTTTCTTAGACTCGGGGTTAGTATAATTTCAAGATGTTTAGAAATGTTCACCGAAATAATGACGTGTTCTACTGCTGGCGGACTTCTGAATTATACAGCCTGTATATTGTATAGTGATAAAATAATATAATTTTAAGTAGTATACCTATAACGATATACATTTTCATGAACATTTTAGATTCTGAGCGGAGCGATGAATGTATTGGTTTTACAATGATGTATGTTTTTATATTTTTATATTTTTATATTTTTTTTTGTGTCTGTCATCACGTTTTGGGACAGTAAAAGTGCTTCGATTTTCTTCAATAGTACCTTTTCTGATAGGAAAGTGAATCTAGTTGGTACTTTGGGGGGTCAAAAGTAAACATTTTCCAGTAGTTTTCACAAGCGCCGGGAAAAACAACATAAAAATTAAGGAAAAACGGGAATTTTTACGCAAAATCGATTTTCCAAAAAATCGAATTTGGTTATTGGTGTAACTTTAAAACAAATGACCGTAGATACATGAAATTTTCACTGGTTGTTTATATTTGCATTTTCTATACACGATAACATTTTCAAAATATTTTGATTTATTTTGAACTGTTTAGGGACATTTTCATTTTTCATTTTATTTTAGTTTTTTTTCTAGAAATATCAATAAAATTTTATTTGTTGGTTGCGAAAGCTTGAAAATTTAATAGAAGGCTCCTAATATGTTGTTTCAAAGGCAGATGAAAAATATTAAAAATCCTTAGTCACAATTTTTTTTTATAAGCATTTAAAGTTCAAAAATTGACAAAATATGGAAAAATCACGAAAATTAGCAAATTATTTTGAGTTAAGAATTCGTAAAAATTTTTCTTTTTAAATCTAAGATTTGAAAATGAAACACAAGATTCCTTATAAGATTATCTACCTTTATCAATAAAAAAATCTCTACCGGACAGTCAAATTAAATTTTTATGAGCGTTTGAAATTCAAATTTTTACAACATTGGATTTTCACTCGATTTCTCATGTAGCGATTTCCTTATTTTGTTGTAATTCAAAAACGAATAACTGTAGATACATGAAAATTTCACTGAATGTTTATATTAGCATTTCATATACACCATACAATTTTGAAAATATTTTGACTCTTTTTGAGCTGTTTATGGACATTTACAGCTTTCAATTTTTTTAGTTTTTTTTCTATAAATATCAATAAAGTTTTATCTGTTGGGCCAAAAAGTGTAAAAATTTAATACAAGGCTCCTGATATATTGTTACAATATCAGTTGAAAAATATTAAAAATACATAGGCACGATTTTTTTTTATAAGCATTTAAAGTTGGAATTTTGACAAAATTTATCAAAATTTCGAAAATTATCAATCGTTGGAATTAAAAAATTATAAAATGTTCAGTTTTTATAACTAAGAGTTGAAAATTTAAAACAAAGATTCTCTTAAATAATTCATACTGTAACCAAAAAATCTAAAAAATATATAAACACACTTATTTTTTACAGACATTTTAATTTCAAATTTAGACAAAATTTCATATTTAAACCAAGAATTACGATTTAGTTATTTTGTTGTGATTGAATAATACTATTCGTGGGTACTTGAAACTTCTAAAGTGTACTATTATATATCTATGATAGTATCACGGTTTTTGTTGATGTATAACGCGTTATAAGTATCTAATGGATATTGTGATATGATTAATTTGGAATTTATTATAGGTACCTATTATAGGTCAATTTTTTGTTTAATACCATAGATATGTATATAATATGCCTTATACATAGACTGACATACCATCACCGCTCAGAATCGTTTTTCTTATACAATGATATTATATCATTGAATTCAAATTTAATACCATCCATTATACAGTGACCCACTTGTAACCTACTGTACAGCAGAGCGACACCCACTTGCCCACCTTTTTTAGTTTCTCATATTGATTTCTTATAAAATAAATCCCTAAATACTATATATATATAGCCATATAGGTAACTAATATATTTAACCTACATAATTATATTTAAAACTGTGTACTTGCAGTATTATACCTTTTACCCATTTTAATATTATTATACTCTCAAACATAATACAGGCAATCTATACACAAATATATCTCGGTAATAAGTAGATATGCATTTTATTAATTATTAAATAATTTGTATTCTTACTTCAGTATAAATGTTAAGTGTATAAGAGTTTTCCTGGGTACCTACGTTTACTGATTTTTCAATTGTTTGTTATTTATTGTCTGAGTTATTTCCACAATTTTACACTTACTAGCATAGTTACTTCCTTATGAAATTATACATATTTAACTAACATACCAGTCGTATAACTTCAACAATTAATTATGTTAAGAAAAAATACATTAAAAAAACAAATTTTCAATGTAGTGATAAGTGACAACACTGCAGTCTACCCACTCGTGCCGCAAATTAGCAAATTATTTTGAGTTAAGAATTCGTAAGAATTTTTCTTTTTAAATCTAAGGTTTTTAAATATAATACAAGATTCCTTATAAGATTATCTACCCGTTATGCACCCGGAACGCAGCTTAGTACGCAGCCAACGACAAGTATATTACCACAAAACTCTAACCAGCCGTCCGGGAGTGTAACCACGACCAGAGATAGTGGAATGCAAAATGCATCGTCAGCTCTGAAAGAGGAGAACCGATTGTTGTTATCACGGATATTCCGTAATGAAGACAATAACAACATAAACAACGATAACATACAAGCGCGGTCAACCTCTAACAACGGTTATTACGTCATGCCAAACTTTAATAATTCGATTAATATTTTTTCTGGTCGTGAATCCAATACGGATGCGAGAGCATGGTTGAAATCAGCCGAAGGTGTAGCAAAATTACATAATTGGCCAGACAGTTTTAAATTAGAAATAGTACGTACTAAATTGAATGGTCCGGCCAAAAATTGGTACGTTGGTCGTACATTTTCAAGTTGGGGAAGTTTTGTTGACCAGTTTAATAATACATTTGTGGGAAACGAGTCGTGCACAGTTGATCGCATAAGAATTATGTCAAACCGCGTTCAAGCCAAGGGCGAGTGCGTCATAGAATATTTTCACCACAAAGCGTTCCTCTGCCGTGAAATTTCGTTACCATTTAACGAGACTAAACAACTGATAGTTAAAGGTGTTTATTCTCACGATTTATGTAACTATTTGATAGCGGGCACACATTTAAGTGAGGACGAATTATTAGCTGATATAAATTCTTTAAATAATCTGAGAAATGCCAGGAAAAGTCGAATTCGATCGACCGAGCCTGTAAAGACAACTCAAAGTCATACCGGCAATCGAAAAGCCAGTTCTGACAATCGCGATAAAGATCGAAATACGGTACAACGATCCACTGTTGATTCAAGAAGTAAGCCAACAAGGGATATGTCCAATGTCACAGCTATAGCTGTGGAAAAATCGGGCATCTGGCGTCTTCGTGTCCAACGAGAACCTGTCATAGCTGTCAATCAACGGGTCATTCAGCGCGGTACTGTCCAGGTCGCCAAGGTGAGCGTCAAGACAACAACAGTGGTGAGCATGTCTCTGTTTTAGAACGGCCCCCACACCTATTGTACCCCCATATATGTTAGATGTTAGCATTAAGTTTCCCAATGGTGAGTTTATCGATGCACAATCATTAGTAGATACGGGTAGTCCGGTTAGTCTCATTAAATCGACAGTTGTCCCATTCGTGTCCGGGGTAATGCCTCCAAAATCGGATTTAGTAGGTATTAATGGTTCCAAATTAAACGTTGTAGATCAATTCGATACAAATATTTTACACACCGACCTTGATGCCCCGATTAATTTATGTTTTCACGTGGTGCCGAGCAATGCCATGAAGAATGATTGCCTTTTGGGTCGTAATTTTTTATCTCATCTTAGAGTAAATTTGAATGTGTCGGATGGTCGTTTTGAAGTAAGCTTTAAAAAAATTGATAATATATCATTTGCTGAAATTTTATCTGTTAATTACACTGATCATAATAGAGATGATGCTGACATTAGTTTGAATATTGAGAATACTCTGTCGGATGATATTAAAACAAAAATTAAAAAAATATATGACGAGTCCTATGTTAACCACGAAAGTGTCATTAATATGACTGACAACTATCGTCCAGAAATACGCATTATATTAAAAAATGATAAACAGTTTTATTTTCGCCCCCAGCGCTTGTCTTTTTTTGAGAAAGACTGTCTACAAAAAATGTTAGATGATATGTTCAACAAAGGTATAATTCGAAGAAGTAGTTCTGAATACAGTAGCCCCATAGTCCTGGTAAAGAAAAAGAACTGAGATTTAAGAATGTGTGTTGATTACCGCGAATTAAATAAATATGTAGTAAAAGACCGATACCCGCTGCCACTAATAGATGACAATTTAGATTAATTGCGCCGAAAAAAATATTTCACATGCTTGGACCTGGAAGATGGGTTCCACCATGTATATGTCGCTGACGATTCGATTAAATTCACATCTTTTACGACACCGGTAAGGCAGTTTGAATTTTTAAAAATGCCTTTTGGGATAGCCAATGGTCCATCATGTTTCAGCCGTTTTATACAAAATGTTTTCGACGAATTTATTCGTAAAAATGAGGTGATCGTATACTTTGACGATATTATTAGGACGATTTGATAAAATTAGGCCAATGTGCTCAGGAAAACATACGTGTAGGACAGCTAAATAATAAAACTTACTATGATTCAACTAAACGACCCGCCATGAAGTATTCTGTTGGCGAATATATCATGATTAAAAATGTTGATACTACACCGAATGTTTGCAAAAAAATATTGCCTAAATTCAAAGGTCCATATAAAGTAGAGAAGGTCCTCCCTCATGACCGATATATTGTTTCTGATATTGAAGGGCACCAGGTGACCCACATACCTCTGAATACAGTTGTCGCTGCGAGAGACATTAAATTGGGTTAAACAGTATTAATTTTATCTGTTTGATTTTGTAATTAAAAAAAAAAAAAAAAAAAAATTAATAATAATAAAATAAATGTATCTTGTATTTTTTTTTAAGTATTATCACCTACCAGGTGCTTCAGAAGTGTTCTCTTATTATTATCATTATTTGATTTTTATTGTTCTTATTATATTTTCATTGTATACATAATATTATACTTGATCTATTATATTGTAAGTTTTTTTTTTTTTTTTTGTATTTTATCGAGGACGTTCCAAACGTCAGGTTTGGCTGAGCTGTAGTGATAAGTGACAACACGTCGTGCCGAGGCGACGTCTAGTAGTAGGTACCTACGTAGTCTGTTTTTGCGTGCGTTGCCGTAAGCGTGTCCAACGGAGTGTGTCCGGACTACCCAGGCTTACGGGCACTAATTTGAATTCAATTATTCACTTATATTATACTGTGTGTCTCATTAAAGGGTTGATTAATTAATTAATTATTGAGTGTCTTGTGTTTTGTGTCGCCTAACCATAATCGTTTCCTGATATCCACACGAGGCCCTACATGAAATAAAGTTGAAAATGTTCAAGCTTTTTATTCTCATTATAACACATACACCACATTCATTGTGGCTTCTGTTGCGGATAAATGTATAGAAGGTACCGACTGATATATTCTAGAAAAAAAAATTGCTAAACATAATAAACATAATATTTTAGAGTCACCATAATTCTTCGTCTCGACTGCAACTGGGGCGTATCAAAAGAGAGTTTCTTATAGCTTCTCGGCAAATTAAATATTTCGCATGATCAGTGATGTAAATTGTATAATACACAATGTATAATATTGTATTTAGTATTATACAAGCGTATTATACGTCATGTATAAAAAAATAAAATACAAATGGTATAAAAAAAAAAAATCAATAATAAATGGTAGATTAATAATAAAGATAAAATATACGCAATAAATAATGTTTTAAAACTGATGCGTGATAACACTATAACAGTACCTAACACAACGACCAGGCCACAAGTACCATGGTACCATGGTTATTGGTAGGTGGTAGTCATGATCATAGGGAAGAGATTATAAAGATTAAGCACCAAAGAACTATTCTAGTCATAGACCTATTATAAGTATTACCTAACCTAAATTCTATGATTCTAGTCGAAAACATATTTTGTAAATCGTATTTCACTGATAACTGATAAGTCATAACTCATAAGTCATAATCGTTGACATTAGACCGTAGTATATAATATTATACTATATTCTAATAATTCTATTTAACTACCTACAGACTACAAGTTACAATTAATTGAAGTACCTAAACGTTAGTTGCTGTTTCTTTTTACAATGGGTTGACCTTCAAAGCAAAAATCTATTGTTGACCAATTTTTTACCAAGTATTATGTTGAAAATATTGAAAAACGAAAATGCTTATTTTGTAAAGAGGCTTATTATGAATATAATGCATTTCGTTTGGAAAAACATTTATTAATATGTCCAAAAACTGATTCAAAATAGTAAAAACTAATTAAATAATTACGTAGGTATTAAATTAAAATTACTGCAAGTATTAAAACCTAATAGGTATTCAAAACTTAGAGCCAATACATTTTCATATATTTACTGTTAGTTATTAATTTATTACCAGACTGCCATTACATAATTTAATAATCAAAATGCATGATTATGCATCAATAAACTGCAATATTGTTGATCTTACATTCTTATTATACTCTGGTAGCTATATAATAATTAACAATTATCTAAACTCCGTACGATTTTTGTAAGATACTGTATTATACACGTATAATACACGTATTATATAATTGCAAAATACAGTATTTTTACGGATGTAATACGGTTGAGAACGTTCGACCTTTTTTAGCGTAAGATTAAGATCACTCGAAACGAAATAACCGCTGATCCAATAAAACAGTACTATAGAGAACGAAATTAAGTGCAACGTTGCCGAACTATATTCAAGTCAAAATAAAAATGAAATAAAACATTGAATAAAATAATTAAAAATTATAAATTTTAAAAATGTCATAATTTTTAGAAAAATGTGTATTATTGGTACCTACCAATAATACAAACATTTAAAAATAATTTACAATTTAATTCCCCTATATTATATACTTCCCATATGTGTTAAATATTTTACTAATCCTTCAGAAGATTTTTTTTGACAGTAGTTAATATAAAACTGTATTGTTTTTGAAATTTTTTCTTCATCTGCTTTTGATGCCCTTTGAACAGTACCCTGTTGAATAGTATTGAGTTTTAAAGACGTTTATTCCTGCCACATAGTGTGTGAGCAGTGCTAAGAGTCATATATATTTATATAGGCTATAGCCATAGCCGATTTTTATATGGCAAAGTTTGGCAACGTTGGGTGGAAAAATAAAAACTGAGCGTTCTCAATCGTAATAGTCAAAAGGGTCTAAGAAAGGTATCGCCAATAATGACCGTTCTCAATCGTATTCCTGCCATTTTAACATCACTGCGCATGATCCTGCCCGATCCTGCTGAGGTTGTACAATGTAGACTGGTGACACAGCGTGTCATGCGATTGCCGCATAATTCTTATGCGATAGTATCAGGGCTTCAAAACGTTTTTATAACGTTATGAGTATAACGTTAAACAATTCAAAAAACGATTGAAATCGATAACGGATAACATATCGGTTAACGATAAACGATTGAAACGGATGTAACGAATAACGAAACAGAAACAATAAACAATTTAAACATATTATAATTGCCTAAAAAAAAATATTTATAAAATTATGACTATCAGTTAAATATATATTATGGTTATTTTTGAAATATTATATTTTTAACACTTTTCTTAAGTTTGGTTACACGTCTGTCTGTGATCAAATCTTGCGCGCTCGATTTGAGGCACTTTTTGAAGATGAAAAATTCTGAAAATTTGTATAGACCTTGGTCTTGGATGACAATACAATAATCCGTAAAAAATTTTTTTTAACTAAAAAGTAGAAAATAAAAAATTAAAAAATTATTTTTAAAAAACACCCTTTTCTAAAAAAACAAAAAAATAATGAAAAATTTAAAAGTGTGTGGCGCTCTTAAACTTGACATATTATACCACACACTTTTAAATTTTTCATTATTTTTTTGTTTTTTTAGAAAAGGGTGTTTTTTAAAAATAATTTTTTAATTTTTTCAATCATTCTGTTTTGTGTAGGAAACAAGCTATATCCATCAGATAACTCTAAACACTTCATAACGTTTAAATTTATAAAACATTTAAACCCTTAAGTTTAATAACGTTTACATTTTTATAACATTAAACAGTCATTCGATCATTACGTGTAATATCCATATAACGGTAAACGGTATTATTATTTTTGATTTAAGCCCTGTAGGATAGTATTAATTTATCATTGAGTTAAATAAATATACAAAATAGTCAATAGAAGATCTGGAGAAGGATGGATGTGTGTAAAATTATTTCTTAGGGTGGTTTATGTTATATATAAGTAAAATAGTTTTTTTCAAAAACTTGTGTTGAGTATAAACACCTGCAGCTATTCCATTTCTCCTCCCCTAGTTTTTTCATAGTAAGTTATTTTTAATTAATAATGAGAAAAGT